AGGAATTTTCTCAGTTCCCCCTTTGTTCTGGGCAAGGGTAGTTCAACGATTCCCTGAATTCTCTCTGGGGTGATTCTACGCTTTCCCTCAGAAACTACATGTCCCAAATATTTAAATTCTCTTTCCAGATACTGTAGTTTATTCTTTGAGGCTCTCAGTCCCTGTTTCCCTACAAAATTTAGCAGTTAATTGGTAGACTTTTTAACCTCTGCTTTTTCTGGTCCTGACAAGAAGAGATCATCTACATATTGTAGGAGTGGTACTCCCTCTGGTGGCTGAAAGTGTTCTAATATTTGCTCCAAAACAGATCCGGTGATTCTGCAAACCCCTGAGGCAGAAGCATCCACTGATACTGTTATTTTCACCCTCTCAGGATCTTCCCACTCAAAAGCAAATATATCTCTGCTCTCCAGATCCAGGAGACAAGACCAAAAGGCGTCTTTTAGGTCTTTAATGCTGAACCATTTATCTTCACTTGGGATTTTATTCATCAAGGTGCATGGGTTTGGAACCGCTGGATGTCGTTTGTACTATTTCATTAATTTTTCTCTTGGACCAGTCGATGGGAGCCATGAGGTTTCCTTACTGGCAGAATGGGGAATTGAAGGGCGTCACGCATGGTTCCAACAACCCATCTTTTCAATAATCCTTGTATCACAGGTTCAAGCTCGGTACGTCCCTCAAAAGGAAGTGGATATTGCTTCTGTCTTATGGTCTCATATTTTCCCTGCAACTTTATTTTTAAAGGGGCTATTTTCAGGCCCCCCCCCCATACCCCTCCTTTGCCCAGACCACAGGATCTATCTCTTTCTCATCTGCCTCAGTTAACACATTCATTGTGTCATGGTTCTATGTTTTTTGTTTTTGTTTTTTGTTTTTGGGTTTCAGTATTCCACATCAAAACATCATGTAGTGCACGGGGCATTAAAGTGTCACTGCCCCAGTTCCAAGTACCTATCCCTGTACATTATAGCAGTCACGGGATCTGGCCCTTCCAGGTGGGGGGGCGCTCTCTTGCTGCCTTGCAGTGGGTGCTGGAGGTGCTTTCCTGGCCGTTCCAAGCTTTTCAGGTTTGAATCGGTCCCGGGAACTCTCTCTCTCATCTTGTCTGATTTATTAATCTCAATTTCAATTAAATTGTACATATTGTGTTATCTTGTATTCCAATATTATAGTAAAATAAGTTTTCCTCCGTAGATTGTTGCCGCTGCTCTTTTCCTCCCTTCCTTCCTTCCCATTTTTTGTGGGACTGGGGTGGAGGGGGAGGGCAGAGGCCTGCCGCCCCTGTCACGGACATAGATTGATCTGATCAACTCCGTGACAGATTTTTTGGCACCCAACGTGGGGCTCGAGCTGCTTTTTAGCTTTTAGAACGATTTTTTTTTTTTTCTCTTTCTCTCTGCTCTTAGAGAGCTTCGTTAGGGAGCATTATCAGTAGTTCAGGTTTCTGTGCTGGAAAACCTGACCTTGAAAGATTAGGCGTACTGCCAGTGTTCTGGGATATTTGTAAACTTTGAGCACTACTTAGTCTGGGTAGTGCCTTTTTTCTTTTTTTTTTTCCCTCCTCTTTTTAGCTTCAATTCATTAACCCCTTTTTAGCAAACACCAGTGATGAACCCACTCGTTATCGTGGGGGTGCTGGGTAAAGGATTTAAAGCAATGGTGTTACTCACAACCTACTGGCCAATAATCCATCTCATACTTACGTGTTGTGGAATTGCATTCATATATAACTACCTAAGGGCACTGATGGAGACACCTATGTTTTACCTACGTGCAATGTGGTATGATTTGAACTTTGACATTTACATCCCAGAAGGAATGGCTAATTTCACAAACAACTACATCCCAAATGGAATAGCTAATTTTACAAACAACACAATGTTGAGACCAGTCTCAGGGTTTTCTTCTCGGTTTGTCAAACGTTTTACGAGTCTTGAATTAATACTCATGTTGTTGTTGTTGTTCGTGTCATCAATTCTCCTGAGTGTACTCCAACGCATTCATAATAAGGAGTCTTCCCCAAAACTAGAGAATGATGACTGGCAGGGAATATGGAGAGGTTTAGGAAAGGTCTTAGAAGCATGGGGACCTGCAGTGTCATGGGATTTTACTCTTGAACACCTGTGGGATCCTGAGAGAAACTAAGCCAGTATCTGAGTCAGGGACTATGCGGCTTACATAAATCTAAGGAGGTACAACTTATTTGGGGTTTGGCTTGTGCTTACCGTGCCCTATATAATACCATTCTGGAGAGAGAGAGTTTCCAAGCTGAGGTTCAAGCCAAAGGGGAAAATGCCCAAGTCAAATCTAATCGATCACAGGAGACACCAGTAACAATACCAGTTGCTCCTGTGCAGGGCAAGAAATGGAAACGAATGTCTTCGCGTCTTGAACGAAAAAGAGAAGAAGAGGAGGAGGAGGTGGAGGAAGATCCAGGCGAGGGGCCCTCCTCAGAACCACCACCATCGCGAAAGGCAAAAGGGAAAACTAAGAGACGTGCAGAAGAGAGTGATGAAGAGGAAATCTCTATTACTACTCGCCGGCCTCTAAAGATGACTGAAATCCAAGGTTCAAGAAAGTAGTTCACACGGCGCCCGAATGAAACTCTTGTTTTCTGGTTGGTTCGCTGTTGGGACAGTGGGGCCCATAGCTTGTCTCTGGATGGTAATGAATCTCGCCAACTAGGTGCCATTGCCAGAGATCCAGCTAGGGTCATATGCTTTCTCTGGAACCATAAGGTTTTTTTCGTGAGGGAAAGAGCCAGCTTTTCGTAGGCTGTGTGTGGCCTTTGGCAAGGGTAGGCAATACAATCTGTCAGTAAGGCATTTTAGGTGCTTCAGGTTTGTAAACTTGTCCTTTTATTTTTTTAGGCAGATTTTTGGAGCATGGGAGTACTGCGGTACGCTCTGTTGTGTGGGTTTCTTCCTTTTGATGATGACAATGTGATGGCACTCTACAGGAGGATAACAGGAGGTATCGATGGTGCTAGAATACACTGAGAAGGGAAATAGCTGAGCATGACAAGAGGCCTTGCTTTTCTGATGACAGAACATGCTGAGCTGTACTGTGTGTGGAAAGGCCTGTCTGCTGAATATTGTCCCCCTTTTTTTTTTTTTTTGCTGCTTTGTCTACCAGTATTTTGTGGATTTGGTTCTACACTTGGTTGGCCTATGTAGCCTGATTATATAATGTGATAGCATGGAGAGTTTAAGGAGAAGTATTTACTTCCCAATGGGCTAATTTTTGTATCTGGTTCTTCAACTGGCTGCTCCCTATTACTACCTGTAGTAAAGATACAAATACATCGTTTGATTTACCAGAAATTAATGTTATTGAATGCCAACTCTTCTCATGTCTAGGAAGAGCAAAGTTCTGCATCTACTATCAGAATTTCCTCTTCCAGAATCAGGAGGAAATGTAGAGACCCCTTCATTGATTGCCTTCGAATTCAGCAGTTTGTTCTGTTTCCTTTCAGAGTGCATAACATCCTGAGCGTGTTAATCAAGAGACATGGCTTTTTAGTCTGGTGTAAACTATGTTGTGCATTGAGCCTTTGTCCCTTTGTAATTAGGACTTTGTCCATTTCTGCAGGACTGCAGAAAATCCTTTGTGCTAATCAACACTCCAATTTGCAGAACGTGGCAAATGGAAAATGATCCAACTGCTTCAGGTGTACATTTCCTTAAAATTGTGAATAGTTTTGGACTGAGAGTTTGTTAGCAGAATGGAGCTCTTGAAGCTGTCCAAGATTGTTTCTGCACCACTTAGTTCTATCTGTCTGATGCACACAGGAGCTGAGGGCTGCATTGCTTGAACTGGTGGAACTTGTTTAAGTGAACTGGGATGAGCAAGTTTCAGAACTGAGTCAGAATGCAGTAAAAAATGGATGATCTCACAAGTATTAAGATACTGGCTTGCTATTTCTGCACTGAATTTGTTTTAATTGTATGTGGCTGTGATCTGAGAAGTGCTTGAAATGCAGACACCGAGGCATTGTTGTGTAATTGACTTTCGCACGTTACAGATCCTGAAATATCCTGGAATCTAAAACTCAGAATTGGTTTAAGTCTACTGCTTGACTCTAATCAGGATCATAGCATCTGTGTTCAGTGTTCTTTTCCCTGTAATGCTCCACATCACTTCATTTGGGAAGTACTTAAGGAAATTGACTATGTGCCATAACTGTTGTTAGAACAAAGTATTTCTGGTGTGATCTTAGACATTTTGTAGCTCTTGTGAGCAGTTTCCCTTCCAGCATCGCCCTCAGCCAAGTACGTGTTAATTTTTACCATTAAATTTATTCAAGCTATTCTTAAAGCAGAGTCTGTAATCTCTGTTCCTGTGCTTTGAAAGAAAAGAGATGTCAATATCATCCAAATAATTTAATAGCTCCTTTTGAGCTAGTTGTTCAAGGTTCATTCTCAATCCTCTCTTATTTTAGTTAAGAAAATAACTTTTTTATTGCAGAGAGGAAAATACACTGTTCCAAAATGGCTTTCACCTAGCAGCACGCTGCTACTTAACCAACTGCTACAGGTAAAAGGGCTGCTTCTATTCAGATTGATGTACAAAATGCTGTTGCATAAGCTCAAAACATTGATGGAGTGCTTAGAAAATATGCGGTGTTTAAACAAGTTAAACTGTTCCACGCCTGATATCCTTGAAGAAAAGGTTAGCATTGCCTTGTGCTGAAAATTCTCAAATAATAACGTAGTACTAGTTAATGGTTATAGAGATAATTACAGTTTTAATAATTAAACAGTCTTCAAGCAGCTTGCATTTGGATGTTTTTAATTGTGCTGTATAATTAAAAGCGATTTGTAAACAAAAGATGTTTCATAAAGGAAGCTGAACGTACTAAGTATGCCCTTGGGCTGTATCTACGCAGTCTCAAATACAAAATCCTGCTGGAACATTTAGAGAACCTATGGTTACAGTAACTGTTCTTCACAGCTCAGGTGTTTGACCTTCCTTTTGGTGAAGTGAATAAATACCACTGGTCTCTATCTGTGCTTCTAGGCACCTTGAAGTTCTTAGGAAAAGAATAACTGTCTCCAGTTCTTCTTGATGATATAAGTAACAGCTTGAATGTTGCTGCCCAAAGAAGCAGATTACAGTTAAACACCTGTTAAATCACCCTTGGCTCATGCAAGGTTATTCTGATGCTGTTCAGCGGCAAAGTAAATACCCAGTAAGTACGCACACTTGAAGAAGCCTAAGTATTTTCTGGAATCTTTTCTGGACCACTGGCATCCTCACAGAATAGGAGTGATAATACATTTCTTCAGAGGCTGCTGACAAGTGGTGACTCTCGGGGGTCCATTTTGGCGCCCTCAATACTTTTGTCAGTGACAGAGAGAATGGAACTAGAGAGCACCTTCAGAAAGTTTGCAGGCAGCCCCATGCTGAGAGGTGCGGTGGATAAAACAGGAGGTAGGGATGTCTCGTCCCTGATGGTAATCAAGGCTGGGTTGAATGAGGTCCCGGACAGTTTGATCTGGTGAGTTGCAACTTTGCAACTTGGAGCTTGATGGTCTTTAAGGTCCCTTCCATCTCAAGCCATTCTATGAGTCTCTGGAACTGTGCTTGTCCTCCTTATCTCTCAATTGTCTGACCTGTGTGAGAGGTTGGGGTAGCGGGGTTGGGGTGGGGCTGGGAACTGGGTGTGTGAGGGAGATTCTTGCTGCAGATACTGAGAAGTTGCTGTGTATTTGCAGCCAATGGCTGCTGCTGGCCACTGGGTGCCACTGTTTCCCTGAAGAACAGCTGTGCTGATGGTACCACCGTGTGCTGTGCATGCCATGCAACTGAATAATTAAGGAGGGATAGAGGTGTAACTTCTGCTCTCGTGAAAATTTCATCTGCTGACAGGCTTTTGTACTTGAATTCAAAACCTGTTGCCACAGAGGGACCAGTTGCTGAAGTTTGGTGACTCTTTCTCAGGGGTCTGTGCTGGGTCCGGTCTTGTTCAACATCTTCATCAGTGACCTTGATGAGGGGATGGTGGCCACCCTCAGCAAGTTTGCTGATGACACAAAGTTGGGAGGATTGGCTGACACGCCTGAAGGCCGTGCTGCCATTCAGCGAGACCTGGACAGGCTGGAGAGCTGGGCAGAAAAAAACCGGATGAGGTTTAACAAAAGCAAGTGTAGAGTCTGGCATCTGGGGAGGAATAATTGCATGCACCGGTACAGGTTGGGGGATGAGCTGCCGGAGGGGAGCTCTGCGGAGAGGGACCTGGGTGTCCTGGTGGACGGCAGGTCAGCCATGAGCCAGCAGTGTGCCCTTGAGGCCAAGAGGGCCAATGGCATCGTGGGGTGCATTAAAAAGAGCGTGTCCATCAGGTCGAGGGAGGTGATCCTCCCCGTCTGCTCTGCCCTGGTAAGGCCTCATCTGGAGTACTGCACCTAGTTCTGGGCTCCCCAGTACAAAAAAGACAGGGATCTCTTGGAAAGAGTCCAGCAGAGGGCCACAAAGATGGTGAAGGGCCTGTCCTATGAAGAAAGGCTGAATGAACTAGATCTGTTCTGCCTCGAGAAAAGAAGACTGAGAGGGGACCTGATCCAGGTCTATCAGTATCTGAGGTGTGGGGGGCAGAATGGCGAGGCTGGACTCTTTTCAGTGGTGAATGGAGACAGGACAAGGGGAAACGGACAGAAACTGCAGCATAGGAAGTTCCACACAAAATGTGCGAAGGAACTTCTTTACAGTGAGGTGACGGAGCACTGGAACAGGCTGCCCAGGGAGGTGGTGGAGTCTCCTTCTCTGGAGATGTTCAAGACCTGCCTGGATGCCGACCTGTGCGACCTGCTGTAGGGAACCTGCTTTGGCAGGGGGGTTGGACTCGATGAGCTCTGGAGGTCCCTTCCAACCCCTACAATTCTGTGATTCTGTTTACTCCTTGCAGTATTTAGCCCTGATACTAACTATTTAAAATAGAAAATCTGAAATGGTGGCTAACTATTGACTCGATTGCTGCATATCAGAAGACTATCGTGGTGATATTGGCTCTGTGAGATGACTTGGAAGCTGTTCCTTCAGTATAGGTCTTGTTCTTGCAGCTGGGGCACCTTGATGAAGACTGTGTAACAGAACTTCCTGTGTTTCACAACCAGAGCAGAGTATATCGGCATTAATATCAGAGGTAATAAAAGTATGTAACTCATTGTATTTAAGCTCATTACTACAGTAAATAACCTTTCTGTGTTAACAGACTCTAATGCTTGCTTATTCTCAAACACGAAGTATTTTATACCTTTCAGAGCTAAGGTACCCCTGCTGAACTCCGTATAGTCTATCTGTAGCTAATAACTACATTTCTGAAGTTCACATTTATTCTATTTTTCTCCTTTAATTTTGTTTTCTAAGCCTTTCTGTTATTTTCTACCATGTTAAAATCCTTATGAAATGAATCCATTCCAGTAACTTTTGAAAATAAATGAGAAAGCTAAACTGAGTGCTTCTAGAGATACTGTATAAATGTCACTAATGACATTCCAAGCTGCAGAAGAGATTTAAAACACGATGTGTACTCTGGCTTTAACCTGAATCTGAAAATTGTTTCTTGAAATTGAATTGTCTTTCTACTAAATGGAAAGTGGTAGAATTTGGAAGGATTGTTAAGATTAATTAATATGTTTATTATTAATGTTAATATAACTTTAGTAGGAATAGATATAAAATGTAAGTTTTACCCAGGAGAGACGTTTCTACTTTTTTTCCAGGTACAGAAAATAATGAGAACAATCTACCTACAAGGGGAAGAAGTTCTTCCATGTTAGTCTGTGATATTTTCACTGTCCTTTATTAAAGGACTTTTAATGCCTTATAATTGTACTACACTGTGAGTCTATCAAGCAATTCATCCATGGTTCTCATAGTCGTCAAAAAGCTGCTGAAAATCAAGTTGAATGTTGATGCTCCTTGGGGCTGGGCTGAAACATGACCCCCAAAAATGGGAGTCCAGATGAAATACTGTGCAAAATGCATTAACAGGAGCTTTGCCATTCACTTCAGTAGAGACATTCTGGCACCAGCTTTACTCTTCACTTTCAGCAATTGTACTGCTCTCAAGCAAAAACAAGAGCAGTCTGCTTCTTTATCTTAAACTTGTTGTGTGAACAGCTAAGGTCTGAAACTAGCCTGATGTGATCAGACATGAAGGTTGCACATCAAGGGGAAAATATTCCAGACATGCAGAAACGTTTAGAACGCTAAGCTTTCTTTGTACTGACAACTTCTCTGAAGAGATCTAAATACTCTTGTTTTCAGGTGGAATTATGACCGGATGTCAGCAACCTATCTCTTGATTCAATCCAGGAAGGTTCGTGGCAAGCGCATCCACTTAAGAATTCCATCACAAACGACGTGCCAGTAAAACACAGCCAGCAAGCCAGGGGGTAGGTGTTAGAGTTCAGCACAACATTCTGGTAAAAATGCTTCTGTGTGCTAAAGCTCTGCCTGGTAAACAGCCTGGTGGCCTAAACATCTGTAAGAGAGATGTGTGCAGCCAGTCTTGGTCATCAAATCTTGTTCTATGTTAAGGCCACTCACTTTGTGTACGAAGGCAGAGGATGTAATCTCTCTAGATTTCAGGGAGGCCTTTGATCCTGTCCTTCGTGGCATCCTTCCAGACAAGTCATCCAAATGTGAGATGGACAGGTACAGGCAGTCACATATGACATCTGACAGTGCAGACAGTGCACTGCAAGTGGTTTAACCATATGTCAGGGCAGGTTACTCGTCTATTAATTACGGAAGTTCTCACAAGGAGCGTGCCTTTAGATGCATTCAGATAATGAGACAATTGCTGTGTTCCTAAAACTAGCACGTGGTTCCACTTCTCATGGAGATGTAGTAGAAAATTTCTTCAACGTTCGTTATGTTTTTTTGTTTTTTTCTGGGCTGCTATTTTGAGTGAAAGAGAAGGGTATGCTTTTACTTAACTGTGCTCTTACTGCATCTTGCTTCTAAATGAAATGTAACCTGTACTTTCACATATCTACTCGGTGTGGCATTGAAAATACTTAGGCTAGCAATGTTAACACTTGCATTTACGTGATGGACCAGAAATGTGTCCATGCTATAGCAGCTCCTCTGAGTTACAAAGATGTTTGTCCTCATCCTTAGTGCTGATACTGCACGTGTTAACTCTGCCCTTTAAAGTACTAAGCATTTTTTACAATTGAAGATTCTTCTGTTCCAAGTGCTGGGGAATATTGTTCAGAAATGCTCGATCTCTGCAGGCTAATGTGTTACTAAGAGTTACTGAACATACCACTTTCCTTTGTTAAGTGTTCAACGAAGTGCATTACAAAGGCTAGTTGTTCACACAGGTTTTATTTTTGTCTTAAGACTGCATGTGGTAACTTCTGATGTTGGTCTTACGGTAAGTTTAAAAAGTAAAAGTAGGTATTTCTTACATGAGAAGTGCAGAAGTGTGATTTCAGCTCGTTTTTGTTAGATATTCCTGAGAGTTAAAAATTTAAAATACTTTTGTTGTTCTATTGGAAGTTCTTACATTCAGGATAGGTTAAAGCAGTACTTAGAGATATAACAATAAACTGTGGAAGTATCTCTTGGAAGTGTTGAGAAAACATCGCTGTCTGGGGCCAACTGCTGCTATGGAAAGCTGAATCTTCGAGCTTTATTGAGTTGTCTCCACAAATTCAAAGCTGCTCTACAGAGCTCTTTTCCAACATGTGGACAATAGAACTTTTTAGGCCGTTACTCAACATGTAGTATTAACTGTGGTGTTGCAATTCGCACCTTTCACATAAAGGAAAATGTGTTTGATGTGGAATGCAACCTTTTGACATAGTAAATTCCTCAGTGTTTGTCCTGAGACCAGTAGCAGAACAAGAAACCAGTTCTGGTCCTCATCCCTTCCAAACCTGCTGTACTGCACTGTGCCGGCCCCTCAAAGACTTTTGAATTACAGAGCTCTGGGGGGATCAGTCTCAGTTTTCTGTTGTGGTCTTGTTGTTCTAGTAAAAACCTATTTTATCACTCTGAAGATGCAGACTAGAGATAGATAGGAAGCTGGCTTTAAAAAAATAAAAAATAAAAAATTGCTAATCGTGAGAAATCCTGACTGAAGAAAAGTAAATCCTCTACTGCAGAAACATACCTGCTTTGGTTTGGATACTTTCTTTCAGAGAGCCAGTGCACAACAGTCATCGCAGTTAAGAAGCCCAAAACACCAACAAATACATATGAACTGACAGCAACGGAGATTCTTCCTGAGAGGAGGGAAGTGTACAGTTATCTATATATGTTTTTGGTTCAGAGCAGTGCTGCCTTAATCAGTGAACAGCCTAGGAGACATTGTTCGCAACAGCAAGCTGTATTTCCTTTCTCTTGGTTAAAATTTTCCTAAAACCTCTTGCTGTATTCCCTGGGAAGCACTGAAAGCTGAAAAAAAATAAAATAAAATAAAATAAATTAAAACTAGAAGTCACTCATCTTCAGAATGCATTCCTGTTTTCCATAACATAAATCCCATCTTGTTCCATTTTCCCCGAGTGCTGCAGTTTTAAAATGCATCTCTGAGCTTAAAGCTCAACTCACATGTAAGCAGAAACTCTCATAATACACAACACTTCCTTTTGTTTTCTTCATTCTGATCTGATCATATTCTAATAGTGCGTATGAAATAACTACAGTCTGATTGCTGAGGAAAGGTAACTAATTAATTTGGTTTTGTAACAGGTGTCATTCTGTGGATTTAGATCTCAACCTAGCTCATGTGGAGAGCAGCCAAAAGAAGAGAAAGGCCAAACGACTTGGAAGTCTTCAAAGAGGCCTGGATAAAGTGATTACGGTGCTTACAGCAGGCAAAAAAGGAAGTGATTCAGCAGACATGGGCCAAGAAAACTTAAGGTATGTTTGCTAGAGAAATATTTTATGGGAGTGATAGCTCTCGAAAACATTTAATACTATTAGGAATGGCCTTGTGAAAAATTCTGCGATCTGAGTTGCCTGCGCTCCGTAGAAAATTGCACTTGCTCGTCTTGTTTTTCTATTGATATAATGGCCCTGTTATTGCCCAGGGATTTAGTGCTGGCTTCAGCTCAGGTGAGTCACCAGCACGTCATGGGAGAGGGCTGACCATTGCTTTTTGCATGCCATCTCTCCAAACTGGAGGAGGATGCAGGATGGGTTTAAAGGAGTCCTAGCTGAAAATATTGAATGATGTTATTTCTGTAGAGGTACCGCTAGCTTTCCCTCTGGTTTGAGGGAGCTTTGATAACATTCCTTGCTGGCTGTTTTCCTTAGTTCAGGAGTGATACACTTGGAAAGGAGTTCTCTAGCATCTTTTCTGGAATTCAATAGAATCCAGATTAAAGATTTAAAGATTAATAAATTCAGCTGGTGAAGGAATTTCTGATGCGGTCAGTGTGACTTTTGATTTTCAAAGTTTTGATGTCTCTGCAGCCAAGCCATATTTTTTTTTATTACTGAGTCTTTAAATAGCCTTAAAAATAATAATAACTTAGTGCACTGCATAGAACACTTTTGCATGAAACTTACACCAGGCAAAGTCGATATATAGCATCAGTTTTAGATTTTTAGAATCTGCATACATTGACTTTTTCATGAAGTGAACAGAATCATATAAATCACTTGAGAGGAATTTATATTTGAATCAGTAGATGACATGTTCAAAAAAAATTGTGATTCATGTGAAAACAAGGCTGTTATGAAGGCATAAACAGTTCCATAAAAGAAATTGACGCATCTCTCCAGCTAGCTGTCTTCTGGAGCTGTAGCTTTTAGGGAGATCTCCAGTACAGTCACAGGAACAAGGAGTCTGGAAGGGAGACCTCTGGAGATCATCTAGTCCAGCCTATGCTAAAACAAGTTCTCTACATTAAATAGTGCTGGAAAACATCCAGGGGAATTTTGAATATCTCCAGAGAAGGAGACTTCACAGTCTTTTTGGGTAGCTTGCTCCAGGGCTCTGACACCCTCAAGGTAAAGAAGTTATTTCTCGTGCTTGTGTGGAACTTCCTGTGTTCCAGTTTGTACTCATTGCCTCTTGTCCTGATGTTGATCACCTCTGAAAATCATCCGACACCTTGACACACTTGACACCTATGATTCAGATATTTGCAAACGTTGATCCCCTCTCAACCTTCTCTTTCCCAGGCTGAACAGCCCCAGGTCTCTCCGCCTTTCCTCATAAGGGAGGCACAGCTAGACTGTGCCATTGATCACAGCCCTGGCTTATCAGCCAGTTCTCAATCCACCTCACTCTCTAGTATTTATCCCACACTTTCTAAGCTTACCTATGAGGATGTTATGGGAGACAATGTCAATTCATTGTCTTGCTGAATTCAAAGTACACAGCAGCCGCTGCTCTTTCCTCATCTACCCAGCTGGTCATGACATCATAAAATCCTTAGAGTTGGAAATGGACCTCTGAATGCCATCTAGTCCAAGTCCCGTGCAATGAACGGCGACATGCACAGCTAGATCAGGTTGGCCAGGGCCTGATCCAACCTCTCCTTGAGAGTCTTCAGGGATGGGACATCCACCGCATTATGAGACAGCCTGTTCCAGTGCCTCACCACAGAAGAGTTCTTCCTTATGTAAATCTACCCTCTTTGAGCTTGAAACCATTTCCCCTTATTCTGTCAGACCCAGCTGAAGATTCCGTCCCCTTTTTTGTCCACTGAACAGTCCACCCATCAAATCCATACCTTTCCAATTTGGAGAGAAGTATGTTGTGGGATACCATATCAGAGGCCTTACTGAAATTGAGATAGGTGATATCAGTGGCTCTTCCCTTGTCCATTGACTTGTCCACTATGTGACGCCATCATGGAAGGTCAAGCAGGATTTGCTGTTGGTGAAGTCATGCTGATTCTCCTGTATCACCTCTTTGCCTTCTATCTGCCTTAGAATGGAATCACAGAATGTCAGGGGTTGGAAAGGACCTCTAAAGATTCATCTATTCCAGCCCCCCCTGCCGGAGCAGGAAGCTCCGGTCACTCAGGAACACTTCCAGGTGGATTTTGAATGTCTCCAGAGAAGAAGACCCAACAACCTCTCTGAGCAGCCCATTCCAGTGTTCTGTTACGCTCACCTAAATAATTTTTTTCTCATATTTATGTGGAACCTCCTGTGTTCCAGCCTGCGCCCACTGCCCTTTGTCCTATCACTGGGTGTCACTGAGAAGAGCCTGGCTCCATTCTCCCTGACACTCACCCTTTACGTGTTTATAAACATTAATGAAGTCACCCCTCAGTCTTCTTCAAGCTAAAGAGACCCAGCTCCCTCATTCTTTCCTTGTAAGGGAGATGTTGCGCTCCTTCCACCATCTTTGTGTCTCTGTCCTGCACTCTCTCAAGCAGTTCCCTGTCCTTCTTGATCGAAGGGGCCCAGAGCTGGACGTAATATTCCAGATGCGGTCTCACCAGGGCAGAGTGGTGAGAGAGGAGAGCCTCTCTCGCCTACTGACCACAGCCCTTCTATTACACCCCAGGATGCCTTTTGCCTTCTTGTCCACAAGGGCACAGTGCTGGCCCATGGTCATCCTGCTGTCCATCAGGACTCCAGGTCCCTTTCCCCTGCTCTCCTCTCCAACAGGTCTGTCCCAGCCTACACTGCTACCTGGGGTTGTTTTTGTCCAGATGCAGGACTCTACACTCGCCCATGTTACATCGCATTGAATTCCTCCCTGCCCAACTCTCCAGCCTGTCTAGATCTAGCTTCCAGGAGGATCTGTTGCATGATTTTTCCTGACACAGAGGTGAGACTGACAGGTCGGTAGTTCTCCGGGTCATCCTTTTTACCCTCTTTAAATATGGGCATGATGTTACCTTTTTTCCAGTCTCCAGGGACTTTACCTGATTGCCACAACTTATATCATCGAGAGTGGCTTGAAGATTATATCAGCCAATGCCATTAGGAGTGGGATGCATCTCATTAGACTTGTGGATGTGTGAAATAAACAGGGTGGATAAATAAATGTGGATGTATAAAATAAAATGGTACCAGATCAGTCAAACATGATTTCCTATCGGTGAGCCCATGTTGACCAGTCCTGATAACCCCCTTTTCTTCCACTGCTTGGAGATGACATCTAGAATAAACTGCTCCATCATCTTCCCAGTGACAGAAGTGAGTCTTCCTGGCCCATGGTTTCTTGGCTCTTCTTCTTGCCCTTTTCGAAGAGTGAACTGACATGACTATCCTCCAGTCCTCAGGCACCTATCCTGTTCTCTCTGGCCTTTTAAAAATGAAAGAGAGTTGTTCAGCAGTCACTTCTTCTAGCTCCCTTGCTGCTTGTGGGTGCATGCCATCAAAGGCCATGGATATGTGTGCATTGAGTTTGTCTAGCCTATCTCTAATCAGATCCTTCTTGACCATCAGGAAGTCTTCCTTTCTCCTGACTCATTCTCTTACCTTCAGAGTCTGGGTTTCTGCAGGGCAGTCTTATCAGTCAAGAATAAAGCAAAAGCAGCATTCAGTAACTCCACCTTCTCACTGTCCTTTGTTGCCAGGACCCACTGCATTTGGTAGTGGGACCTCACTTTCCCTCATCTTCCTTTTGCTATTGATTTACTTACAGATGCCTTTCTTGTTGTCCTTGACCTCCCTCACCAGATATAATTCCAGAAGTGTCCTAGCCTTCCTTCTTGTAGCCCCGCACGTCCTGACAACATTTCCATATTTCTACAAAGCAGACAGACCCTTTTTCACATTTCACAGACTTTCCTTTTTTCCGTTTGAGATTTCTCTTGAGCTCCTCGCTCATCGTTGTAGGTTTCCTGCCACCTGCGCTTGATTTCTTACCCATAAGGATTCCCCAACTGTGAGCTTGGAAGAAGTGGTGCTTGAATGTCTACCAGCTCTATTGGACTCTCTTACATTATTTATTGGGCCTTAGCTCCTTCTGTTGTTACAAAGTCATCCACGGGCAGTAAGAGACACCTGTATCCACCAAAAGATAAACTTCTTTATCCTGTTCCCCCAGCTGTAATTTAAGCAATGGATCTGCTAGGGTAGACTTTCCAAATTCCCATCCTTCATCTACGCATCCAGAAATTGTTCCCTCTTTCTCAGTAATTTACACATTACTTTCATTCCAATGGGGCGGTGCCCTACCTGGGCTCTTCCAGCCCCCATGTCTCTGTGAGTGGATCCCTGGGTCCTACGGCCCCACTCCAGTGCCGTGACACTAACAGCTGCTGTTATTCCCAATTTACCTCCTCCTCTCCAGAGGCTCCCAGTACCAACACTGGGATTCTCTCTGCGGAGCCTAGTCTCACTTCCAGTGCCATGTCCTCTCCACCTCCCCCTTTGCAAGTTATGCTGTTTACAGCAGCCGTCTCCGTCTGCAGCTCACTCTCCCACACCAGGTTCTGCTCGCAGGGGAACATTGTGGGGGGTTGGTCTCACACCAGCACAGGCAAACTCACTTTCTCTTTAACCCTTTTTCCTTTGTTGTACCCTCAGTTATACTTCCACATACCCTCCATTCTACTTCTGTATACCAGTAACAATTACCTTTCTTATACCATCAAAACAGTTTGTCCCATTCCTTTCAAAATCCACAAATCAAACCGTACAATTCTTCAACTTCCACAAACACCCAGCACTTGGTCTCTCATGATTAGGGTACTCAATTAGAAAACTGGTCCCATTTTTCCATTTATGTTCCTAGTTTCTTATTTAATATTCCCCCTGGCCCTCCTGCAACATCCTTCCAATGTGACAACATACACCTGAGAGGTGTTTTGTTTATTCGTTTGTTTGTTTGTTGTTGTTGTTGTTTTGTTGGTATTTCTTTCCCTTGCGACCCTCCCATAGCGCTATTTTGTTGTTTTATTAGTTTACTAACGTTTCCACTAATTACTCCTTTTACCCTGAAGTTTCCCCAAAACAATCCCCAAAACTTGTTCCACCACTGCTGTCCACACTCCAGACACGAGTAACACCAATCCCCTTAATATATCTCTTTACAAGCTAAACAGAGTATAACATAATCTGGACAAAATAATATGTGAAATATACACCTTTCTTCCGGTCTGTCACTGTAATTTATGATATATAAGTTCCCATATTCATCCCACTCCAAAAAGTTCATTTGCATTTGCACTAAAAACCATTCAGATTACCTTTTTCCCGATTTATCAAAAATAAGAATTTTACTTCTTTATTGGTGAACAAGAGGGATGGGAATGTAACAAAGGACCCCTGACTTAAGGCACTTGATTAAGAATTGATTTTTTTAATGACAGATTTAATTTTGTTTTAAAAACCAAAACAAAACATTTGGCAATCAAAGAAAAGCTATATAAATACTGGTTAATAAGCTTTAATATCATACCAAAATACTTTTTCACATCAGTTAATATAGTTAATAAGGTATTTATGGATTTTGCTTATATACATACAATATATGGCTTTATTTCACAACAACAACAACAAACACCAAAGCATTGCTAACAGCAACAATTAGTCACTTTAAACAGATGCTGACAGTGAGCATGAGATTATTTGCCTCCTTTATACTCGTCCATTAAGATCTCATTTTAATCATTTGTTTAGAAGCCATTTTTTGTCCTGCTTGTTTGATACTTAAGGATTTTGAATCAGATTCTGTGAATTCTTTTGCCTGTGAAATATCCTGAAGCTAATTCTGCACCTTTTTTATCTCGGCAGCACTGAAAGGTTTCTGTCCAATGCACAGTTCAAGTTGCAGTGATGCTGAATTCACAGGTGAGAAACAGGAGGAGCTTGCTTGATTTTGGTATTCAGCCTTTTGTTCACTCCTAACTGAACAGGCCCTATGGATGAGAACTTTGACTGAGAAAGAGAAATTTCAGAACAAAAATCTACAGAGAGCTGCAGTCTCCAGAAAGGTTTCCAAGTATTTCTCAACTGCAAGATGGATTGCTGCTCACAGGAAGCAGTGTGATCCATCTTGCCGAAGGATGCAAAAAAAAAAATCTTGCCCCTTTTGATTTTTGATGCCTTTCATCGTTCAGCAAAGAGCATGCACTGCCCTCCTGCCAGCTCCACCTGGTTATGGTTTGCCAGGTCCCTGCTGCCCTGGGTTTCTGCTGAGAAGTTTGTTCCAGCTGCCTGCAGTAGTAAAGGGTGGGGAAGAAATGGTGGTGAAGAGCTAAGGCTGTGCACGGTAATTTTGCATGGATTGAAATGTGGCACCTGAAGGCACTGTTTCCCTCAGAATAATGCTGGTGTTTGCAGGTGTGTTGGTTTAACCCCCTGAAGTGATGTCTGAGAGCGCCTGTCTTCTCCACGTGAACTGAAAGACGGATATGCCCAGAAATTGCAGCTTGTGCAGATGTTGTGAATACACCCCCAAATATTTCCTTTAGTGATAACTAACGTTTCAGCACTCTGATATCCATCTCTGGCACGATCTGGAATGCTGCAGCTCTCAACAAACCTTGGCTGCCTGTTCCCACCAACATTTATTCCTTTCTCTCTTCAGAAGCAGCGCAGTGCTGTTCCCTGTGCTAGGAAGCAGCAGCCAGCAGGCTGCCAGAAATCCAACAGTGCCTTGCAGTGCACAGGGGGACGCGATGGGGACAGACCGTCCTTAGCACCACGCAAAAGTGAGTTTCTTCAGTCCTCTGTCATGAAGTATGGAAGAATGCATTTTAAGTATTACTTCTGAGTGGGTGCAGTGCTGCAGGGATGTCCAGTAACCATGGTGGAAGCATTAGAGAGGCCGACAGCGGCAGCTGATGGCAGCAGTGAGACAGAAGTCTGTGTATAAGTAGTGGTGCTCAGAGCTGACTGAATTCACTTTAGGGACAAAAAATCCATGTCTTGATTTCTGCAGCTGATAGTGTTTTGTTTGCTGTGCTCTGCAGAATGCAGAGCTGTCAGGCAGACAGGGTTCCTCTGCTGCCATCTGAGCAGGAATGAGAGCAGTACTGCTTTGTGTAAGCACATTGCAGTTTAAACATCAGTTTCTGTTCTGGCTGTAGAACAGTGTCTGTCAGTTTTTGGGGGTGGATGTGGGCTGACAGTGCTGCTCCCGTTGTCTGTGAAATCACACACGATCTGTTGTTGCAGGGACAGAGCCTGCGCATCCATGGGATGGTGCTGGGCATGGGGGGAAACGGAAAGCCTCCCCAGGTAAGAAGCTCTTGTGAGCTGTGGTGTGGGTACCTGCCTCTAAATAGGGCTGCACAAAAGGCTGTGTGTGATGGAGGAGAGAAGATGGGCACTGCAGATCTGTGCTGACTGCAGAAATGGCTCACCATTGAAGCAGAAAAAAGGCAAATTGAAGAAACTGCACTTGAAGACAAGAAGTCTGTGGTTGGCTGTGCTAAAATGTTCCTCCAGATAGATGCTCTTCATGTCTTTCTTGTTTCCCTTCTGCCAGAAGCTGATACAAGCAGCCTTCCACTGAAGCACTGCTCTGTGGAAAGGCACAGGAGAAGCATGGAATGTGGCACAGCACCAAAGAGAGGTACAGACACAGCAGGCATCTGGGTTTGGTGCCCTGTCTTTCTAGTTAGGCTTTCTGTCTGTTCTTTCTGGGACTGTTCTCATTGCATGTTGCTCGGGGTCTTAATCCCTGGGATTTAGTTACCTCTCCTGTCCTGATTTGTACTGAGAACCCACAGTTGATACAAGATCCTAAGATCCATAACCATGAATACCCAAGATTAGATTTTCTAGTACTGTGGCCTGTTTTGTAGAATGAAAGTAGTTCTGGACTCTCTTTAAATCCTGTTGCTTTTCCTTTCTTTATGGTGACAGCGAGAGGTGCTGAGTCAAATGGAGAGAGACGCATGAATGCAGTACAAGAAGTCTATTCTGAAAGAGCTCATCTAAGAACTGAATCAAAGCTCATGTACGGGCTGGAGGGCTTCTTAACAGAGCAGGTCCCAGTGAAGGGAGAAGACCATCCCCTGCAGTGAGCCTCCACTCCCTCTCCAAGACCCTGCCTGAAAGAAAGCGCAAGGACTTGGAAGGAGCAAAACAAGCAACAGAGCAGCTGCCTCCCTACAAAAGAGTGAGGAGTGAGTGCAGCAGGGAGAAGGCTCTGAGGATGTATCAGAGTGGGGACAGCGTGCTGCCTCCAGCAGCACAGCCTGGGCCTGCCGCAGCGCAGAGCTCCAGGCGAAGAGGTAAGAAGGTGCTGCGGTACCCTCCCCGGTGAGCTGCTGCCTTTGGTGAGGCATTGAGTTTGCTTGGGGTTGGCTTTGCTTTTTCCTTCTCTGTGGAGGGGAAAAGAGTTGAAAGCTACAAAGTCCAAAGGCACTGAGGTGCCAGAATATGTAACCCCATCTTTTTCCATTCATTCCATGATGGTCTTCTGTGCGTCCAACTGGAAATGTCATTCACTGAGAATGGCTTCCTAGTCCAATTTCAAAATGAAATTACCTTTTTTCTTACTTCATAGCAAGAAGAAAAAGAAGAACAGGACAAAAAAAGAGGAGAGCGGAAATGATGAAGGCTTCTCTGAGAGCTGCTGCTGCACATGCAGAGGTGAGTCCTTAGTGAGCACAGACACACACACTCTTGTTGTTCTCATTGCCTCCATCTGTCAGACATGAAAGAGTGCTGAGGGAAGCAGCGTAGTAGGAAAACACCCAGCTGTGCATTTGAGGAAATCACACTGTCAGTGAGGGCTGCCTAGGGGAGCTTGGATGCCTTTCTCTCACTTGAGGACGCTGTTAGTAATGGCCAGAGAGTTTTGCTGTGATGAAGAAGCTTGCCATGTCGGGCACTGCAACTTTGAAACCGCGTCTCACAGCAGAGCATGAATCTTACCATGGGCAGCTGTTGTGGGAAGTAACATCAGTGACCTGAATGGCAGGAACGTGCTGTGCTGCATGGGGCCATTCTGGAAGTTTTCTGATTAAACTTTCTTAATGAGATCTCCCTAGATTGTTTCTGTCCTATTTCTACACTCACTTTGTTTCTTTTCAGTCTTCCACAGTGAACAGTCTTGTGGAGATGATGCAAAAGCTGCAGCTGAAAGACTGACAGGAGGAGCATCAGAAGGCAGAAGCAGTGCACAGCGTTACAGGGCAGCACTGCGAGTGCTACCCAACTCAGCATCCAAGTCTTTTTCTGTTGCTGTCAATCAATAAACTGTCACGATTATGCACTCAGAAAGAGCACACGGCCTGATTTGCTGAGCAACATTCCATGAGCTGGTACATGACCTCCCATGTGCAACTCCCACAGCTCCATCAGTGAACACTGGAATTTATCAAAGCAATGGATGCACCAATCCCTTGCACTGCCCACAAACGCGCTGTCTGCAAAGCACGTGCAAAGAGCTGTGAGCAGCACAGCTCGGCCATGAGCACGCTAAGTTAGAGAACAGCTCTGTGCAGATGTCTGAGTTCTCCTGGGGCAGCACTGAGCATAAGTGAGCATGTGCCCCTCACCCTGCAGGCATCTCTGCTGGGGGAAGAGAGGCTCCGCCGGCTGCCTGATCCCAGGAGGCAAAGGTGTTCTCCCAACTTCCCTGCAATGGTTGCTTCCTTCATCTTCCCCCGTCTTCAGCTGTTGTAATACTAATTCTACAGATGGGGCTTGAGTGTGTCTGTCATCATGGCACATCTTTGTTTTGGGTTGTATCACTTTGGTTTTAAAAGCCTAAGCTAAAAACTTCAGAGTGCACACTAAATGAGGGGTCACAGCCCATGGAAGTGGAGAACTTTTGGCATGAAGGTGTTGTTTGGTTTTATAATGAGTGTATAATAGGCAAAGTTCACCTAAAGGATGGCATTTTGTCTAAAAATGACAGACGTTTTTTCAAGAGTAGCAGAAATTCCTGGTTTTAGTTCGATTACATTTTGGTGTACAGAGCTCATCATTGGAGTCTTTTCTGCTGGGCTCTTTTTGAAGGAGGAATGCTTCTTGGTGAGCCTGTGCAAAGTTTTTGGATGTTTGAAATCAATTATGAGAAATTCATTATTAAAAAGAAATAATTACCTTTATGCATACTTTCTTGTTATTCCTTTTTCCTTACCACTGCATCAACAAATATACCACTGCTTCATGAAGCCTTTTAAACACCAGTAAGTTGGAAACTATTGATGCTTGCTTTATTTGCAAAGGATTTTTCACAGCTTTGAGGGTATATTTGAGGGGTATTTACCCCATGTTCAGGGGGACCTTCATTCTCCACCCCTTTCTTCCTCATGAAGCCAGTGGAGAAGTGGAAAGAAGAGATTATGGTTCTATAGAGATAAAGGGAAAATAATTTACTAGAAGTGGTAAAGAACTGTGAGACTATACAGTATAAAAGGAGTCAAGGGCAATGAATCAAACAAACAGAAACAGAAAAATCTCTGAGCCATTCTGCATTGTCAGCTGACCAGGTGGAAAAGGAAGTCCTCACATCACATCACATTTGGTTTTTTATTCATATCATAGAATAATAGAATCACCAAAGTTAGAAGTGACCTTCAAGATCATCCAGTCCAACTGTCTGCCTATCACCAGTAGCTCTCACTAAACCACATCCCCCAACAACATCTAAACATTCCCTGAACACCTCCAGGGTTGGAGTCTCCTCCCTCTCCCTGGGCAGCCCTTTCCCCCTCCCTGGGCAGCGCCTGACCGTTAGTATTTCCCAACATCCAGACTGAAGCTCCTCTGGCACAATTTGAGGCCATTTCTTCTTGTCCTGATACATGAGAGAGGAGGCCGACCCCCATCTCACTATAACCCTCCTTCAGGTAGTTATAGAGAGCAATGAGATTTCCCCTGAGCCTCCTCTTCTCCAGACTGAACAATCCCAGCTCCTTCAGCCACTCCCAATCAGACTTGCACTCCAGACTCCTCACCAGCTTTGTTGCCCTTCTCTGGACACGCTCCAGGGCCTCCATGTCTTTTTTGTAGTGAGGGACCCAACACTGAACACAGCACTTCAGCTGAATACAGGGGAGATTACCATCTCCTGCTCCTGTGCTATTTCTGACACAAGCCAGGATGCCATTGGCCTCCTTGGCCACCCAGGCACATTGCTGGCTCGTGTTCAGCTGAGCATCAACCAACACTCCCAGGTCCGCTTCTTCCACACAGTCTTCCAGCCACTGTGCTCCAAGCCTATGGCACTGCCTGGAGTTATTGTGGCCAAGTGCAGGACCGGCCCTTGGTCTTGTTCGACTTCATCCCACTGGCCTGTGCCCAGCAATCAGCTTGTCCAAATCCCTCTGTGGGACCTTCCTACCCCCAGGCAGAATGATGCTTCCTGCTTGGAATTCATCTGCAAATTACTGAGGGTGCACTCAGTGCCCTCATCCAGGTCATCAGTAAAGATATTGAAAAGTATATGTATGTATATATTCATAATACTCTAGAAGGGAGGGGAGAGTTGCAGTGTTTAGAAGTGTTTCCAAAGTTTCAACAAATTTAAATTAATGGGGAAAAAAAAGATGTCCAGCAGAGGAAGTTTCTCAGACAGAGAGAGACTTTCTTTTGGGTAGAAATCAGATTTTTTTATATACCATAGAGTCTGAAGAAGCATAGGATACAACTGGATAATGCAACCATTTCAAATAATATACAATAGACACCATTAATATCCGTCTTTCTTCTGAGACAGACAAGAGATGATGGTTTTTCTTATATTCTCTTCAATAATTTTTTTCCCGAGGCTATTTCCACTTCCTGAGATGATAATTTTTTTTTCAATTTCTTGTTTTATCCTCATCAGTGGTACATGCCTGCCATCCTATTTCTTTCCCAAGCACAATTCAAACCAAACCCAGATCCCATTTTTGTCAGAGTCAACACCAGAAAATAGTGATTTACAGAATTAGTAGATGTGCCATGCATTTCCCTAAAGAGGAGGAGGGAAAGCTGCTTCATGTGTATAAAAAAAAATCTTCCCCAGGCTCTCTTGGGCAGCTGGCCTTCACTGAGTCCCAGAGCCACACAGCACTGCCTGCTGCAGACAGTAATAAAAGTGTAACTGTATGTAAGTGCTGTTGAGGAATGGGGATGTGGGATGTGGTCAGTCCAAAACATTTTGCCTCTGTCTCTCCTTCATCCTCAGGCTCTTTCTCTGCTTCAGCACAAGGTATGCAGTCCTTCCATGGGATGCAGTCCTTCACAAAATGAGATTCTCACAGTTCAAAATTCACCATCTCCATGTCCGTACAATGGGGTGCAAACAGTGCAAACCAGTGGTGTGTCCTTTTTCAAGCTGGCTGGAATATCCTCTTGTCTAACAAAGGGTAGCTTTTGAGCTCAGCTCACAGGTGCCTTCCCTGCTATGTATGACCTCCTACCAAAATCTTGCTACATGAAACCAATGCAGATGCAAAGGATGCATCCAACATAATGAGACCCATCTCCAAGCCATGCTAATTTGGGGTGCACTGTGCTGTATAGCACGACAATGTGAGCATACCCCACTGTCAGAAATCGTAGAATCATAGAATGTCCTGAGTTGGAGGGATCCACAAACATCACTGAGCTGAACACTTGAGTCCCCACAGGTCCATCAAAAAAGCTGAACCTATCTAAAAGCACCGCTCCAGTTTCTTGAACATCAACAGGCTTGGGACCATGGCTGACCACCTTTCAGAGAGACTTTTGTTTTTTCCCAGTATCCAATCTGAGTTTCTAAAGATACAGCTTTAAATCATTCCTTTGCAATCTATCACTGGCCGCCAGAGAGCAGAGACAGTCATCTCCCTCTCTGCTCACCCCCATAAGGATGTTTTACATAGCAGTGAGGCCGTCCTCCAGTACTCTCACTGCCAGGGTCCCTGCCATGTACACGCAGCTCTTCACAGAACTGAAAACAGGTCCAAGTCTAATGCACTTTCAGACAGTCCTGTGATTTAATATACAAGAAAAGTAAAAAAAAAAAAAATCTGAATAAATAAATAAATACATACATATGTATCAAAATATCAAAGTCATGTAAGCAATGACATTAAGATTCTTACGGTGTTATTTACCACCCAAGCTGATGGAAAGACAATCTTGCTCATTTGGTCTCATTTGCTTTATTCCCAAGTTTGCAAATAAGCAGCACAATGGCTGCTTATTAATTATCCCACCTCACAGAGTCAGTGGATCTCCCTGGAGGCAGCAGCCCTCTTTTCCACTACACGTATGTCAAAAAAGTATGTTTTCCAAACCCCAAGGATTTGTCTCTTCTTCATTAGGGGCTGGGAGTGGATTTTGTGTTAGGAAACAGCCTGACAGACCTCTAAAATGGAGACCCCAAAGGCAGGTTCACTCACAGGCACAGAAAAATAAGGATCTGTCACATGGCCAGTGGTGAGCTGAACATGTTCATGCTGCGCTCTGTGATGTATTGGCTCAATGGTTGGACTCCAAGGGCTGTAGTGCACAGGGCTACATCTGGCTGGGGACATTTCACAAGCAGTGTTCCTTATCAGGCATCTAGACCTTTGGGAGAATTGTCTGTAACAGCACATGACGTGATCCATAGGGGAAATCA